ACCAGAGGGGAAACCGATTCGTCCGAAGTCCAGGATGGCAGTGAAGAGCATGGGCCCTCTGACCCCGGGAGCTCCTTTCCCTCCATCACAAGTTTCAGCACTCATCATTTACCCTGTAGCCATTGCTTTGTGAAATGACTTTGCTCACATTTGTGACCCATCACAAGCTAAAATATTTTAATGATCACTACATGTTATTTCATAATGTAATTACTTAACTAGATATTCTCTTCCTTTCTTTTTTTTTAAGAAACAAGCACTTTGCCTGGCCCCAGGGCCATGATTTCTCCTACACATACAGCTCTCCCACTCCTAAGTTCTGTGATGTATGCGAAGGAATGAGAAAATGCTACTCAGTTTTCTGTGACTAGGTACCAAAGACAGACTGAAAATATGAGAACTTGAGTCTAGAGAAAAAAATTGAGAAGGATACGGTTAATATCTAAAAATCATAAAGTCAAGTATGGTGATGAACCACGATGTTTATCAATCCCTGGGTAAAAAAAAAAGGAGAGTACCCAGAAGGGTGGAAAAAGTGGGTTTTAGGATAAATAAAAGGAAGGACCATTCACATTTATGAAATTCATTGTCACCTGGTGATAGAGACTGAAAAGACAGATGACTTCAGAAAAAGCAGATTAATTCTTCACTCATGTAATGGATTTTAAGGGAAGCCAAGTGTGCCCTCGAGTAGCATCCCTACCCTTTGAGGTTGACCACAAACCAGAGAACTAAGCTCTTTCACAAAACCTCAAGGCCACCTTCACAGAGAATACACTAATCTTCAGGACAGTGGCTCAGACCCATTTGGCAAGTCTTAAACGCCTATTGGAAAGCAAGAACTGCCTCAACGGAATACACATCAGAGAACCTATCCATCTGCTAAACCATTTCTAGCAAATAGAGGAGAAGGTGCAGAAAGATACCTCTAGCTCAAAAATCTCACCAACCCAATACAAAAATGAAGAGACTCATTTACTAGTTCAAGGGCTCCCGAAGGAAAACAAACTCTCTTTGTTTTCCTATCACCTAACTCAGCGCCTAGCATCTAGTAGGGTTGAATAATTATGGAGTTAACAAGTTCTGCTCTAAAACTATAAATATCTCCCAGAGAGTGTTAAACTAATTATAATCAGTCATTTACACCACTGTGGAATTAACAAATATGGAGTTAACAACTAATGTGGGATTAACCAATCTCAGAAATTATCAAAGCATCTAGGTTCGGATGGTCAGGAATCTAGAACAGACCAGTAAACACCCCCTTGGCTCCTGGAAAATTAACCACCAAGATCATCATACCTAGTTAAAGGCCAAGGTCCAAAATATATGGAAATGTAAAAGAATACATAGAAAATAATTAGTTTAGATGAACTAAATGTTATTCATGTGATGCCAAGGAAAATATGTATTCTAGGGTTTACTAATCTAATTGCTGTTAAAATAAAACGAATTTTTGGTGAGCACATATCTTTGTTCTCCTGTACATACACCCAAAACTCATCCTTTTTATGGGCCTAAGCTCAATGTAGAAACTCGTTAAGTATTTACCAGATTAATTAATTAATGTATATTAGATCTTAAACCAAATTATCTTTGAGGAATATTACAATACCCATTTCAACAGTATGAATTGTATTTAAATTACCAGTTATTTAGCACCAATGATCTTATCTAACATTTCTTTTCTTCTCTTCATTCTCAGAGAAGCTGGCACTGGAATTATCACTTTGCTTCAGAAATCATGAAATCACTTGAATCCTTCTCCAGCCAAACCTGGAACAAACTCCATGACCACAGGAAAACCTACTGATAGCCTCCATCACATAAAGAAGCACAGTCCACAGCCAGCTGTCCAAAACTGTTCTATGCCATCACATCTGACCTCTATGTGTAAATCTCACCTTACTAAGGGAGTCGAGGCAAGGCGGTAGGGACAAGGCAGAGAGTAAGGGGTGGAAAGTGATATAGTTTCAGCAGAGGAGGCAGATGTTCCAATAGCCAGCAAACAGTTGATAATTGTGACTTCTATGACATAACCCTCTCACAAGATTAGGAGTCCAGTGACCATTGTTTCTTGTAAGAACAATGGTTTCCAGTTAACACACGGCACAGTTTGTGAACTGATGCAGAGCACTGACCTGTACATAATACACACACACATGGAATTAAAAGATTATTAGGATACCGGATGTCCAAACACTGCCAAAATGTGAACCCACAGAGATAATAAAAGTGTGAGCAACAGCAGTATTAGAAATCGAAAGGATTACAGCAACTTTGCTCCACACAATCTCACGTGCCAAAAGCTAGGCCAAAAAACCTGGCAACACTGTGCAGCCGATACTGTGAACTCCATTTCTTTTTGTTTGAAAAGGACTTGGGAGGAGGACATCCTAAAGAACCAGCCTTTCTCATCTCTAGAAATATCAAGACATCAAAAGTTCAAAGGTTCGGGGCCGGCCCTGTGGCTTAGCGGTTAAGTGCACGCGCTCCGCTACTGGCAGCCCTGGTTCGGATCCCGGGCGCGCACCGACGCGCTGCTTGTCCGGCCATGCTGAGGCCGCGTCCCACATACAGCAACTAGAAGGATGTGCAGCTATGATGTACAACTATCTACTGGGGCTTTGGGGAAAAAAAAAGGAGGAGGATTGGCAATAGATGTTAGCTCAGAGCTGGTCCTCCTCAGCAAAAAGAGGAGGATTAGCACGGATGTTAGCTCAGGGCTGATCTTCCTCACAAAAAAAAAAAACAGAAAGAAAATCAGTGACATTTAGGAAAAAAAAAGTTCAAAGGTTCAAGATTAAGGAAAGATCAAAGCAATAAATTAATACACCTTTTTAAATGAAAAATAGGTAACTATGCATATATACTATACTCTATTAACACAACATGGCCATTAGGGAGAAAAAAAAAGAATGAGAGAAATAAATTATTAACTGCTAATAAGCAAACTCATAAATTCTAAGATCTCAGATTAATGGAGCCAAGCAAAAAGTCATAAAAGCACCAGTCCTTACACTGACAGCTCTGCCTAAATTACAGTACCTCCAAATCACATTGCTATGCCTCCTGATCCCAGGGAAACAGAGGGAAGGGCCTGGAATAACTGTCTCCCTGCAGATCTCCACTGGGACCCTTACATAGCTACCATCACTGGCAGCCAACTGCTGATAAAAAGCCAGCAGAGGGAAAACATGGAGGCTTTGGCCAACTGAGGGCTGGATAAAGACCAGAGACCACAGCACCGGCCCAGAAGGCTGGTTCCAGAACTGTCAGACTCAAGCACACACAAGGCTTATACAAATTCCGTATATACAAATATTCTTCTAGTGGCAAAAAGATGGCTGTGAGACCTCCAACAGAGCAACACAACCAAATACAATTATCATGGGCAAATACTTCAGTGATATTTCCAAACAGTGCATAAGTTTAAATGTATACTCCAAATTAAAAAAAAAATTAACGTATACTTAGCATAGCCACAGAATTCGAGGTCTCCTAAAGGGATCTTAGGGATCTTCCAATTCAACTCTCTTTTAAATAGGTCAGAGCTGTTAGGTAACTTGACTAGAGTTATAAAACAAGTTAGTGGCAGAAGCAGGACCCGACTCTCCCCATAGTTTATTCAACGTCTTTTCCACTCAGAGAAGTGACCTTGAAAACCGGTTGGATGACAGGCACAATTTGATTGGTCACCGTGATAGCAAGCAATAGAAGTATGCAGTTATTATATCAGTAAGAACAAAGCACAGCTGAAATTCTGAAGAGGATAAAAGCCTTAAATGTAGGCAAATTTTTTTTTTGTTTTTTTTTTTTTTTTGAAATTAACATTAAATTGTGGAAGCCCTTACTTTCATCTGAGTTTTAGCTGGCAGTCTGTTGTTTCAATCTCTGTGAAATCTACGCCCTGTGTAGCCTAATTTAAAATGTAAGGCCAAACAGATCTGGAAAAGTACAGCTTTACCCTTCTACTTAATTTATACTATAGTGTACTGTAATTAAGCCCGAAATAAAAGCTATATTCTGAGTAAAGACAAAAAGCCCTTGTCAATGGCATTCCATTCCCAATGTAGAACGTAACAAAAGACTTCTTCATTTGCAGCCAACTGTCATTATACTTTGTAGCTTGTATGGAACTACTGGACTAATATTTGCACTAGGATTAGTGCTGGGATAACCAATCAGTTAACTCCTCCACTGCAGTTTTCTATTATCCTCAAATAAATGGCCAAAAGGAAAAAAAGAAAATTGGCAAGCAGAACGACAACTATATTTATGAGATTAAACTCTGAAACCCTTCACAGTTTGCTGGGCAACTAATAACCATTTGCCAAGCAGTTTATTTAATAATGAGTCAGTTAAGCCAAAAGCAAATGTTCCTTCAACCAACCAATGCTACTACAGTCATATCCACACTGACAAGCTCCCATTATTTAGAGCTTCATTTAGAATAAGAAGTACAAGTTGCCATGTATGAAAAACAAACTCCTCTTATTAGTCAAATGCAAGCTACCCTGCAGTATTTTGAATAACTGAAATATGTAGGGGATTTTGCAATTTATGAAAGCCAAAACGACCAATAAATTGTTTGGGGAGTAATTCCTCTTTGTGTCATGATTCTAGACCGAGGGCCGGAAGCTGGCCATCCAACCCTGAGCTCAGTATCACATGATCTTAGGTCATCTGAGTCTGTTCCCTCGTTTTATAAAATAGAATTTCAATACTGAGACCATGCCCACCTGGGGCCTATGAGGACTGAACAAAATACTGTTTGTCAAAACAAAGTAAGCTGTATCCTACACAACACAATCAGAAGCTACAGTATAATCAATAAGGGGAGGAAAAAGCCATGTGGGCTGCTTTCCAAGAAATTCGTGTGTCAAAATAGGAGATAACACCAAGTTGCCTTTGCTCTCTCCTCTCCCTGCTTCTCCCACCCGTCTCCACACACCCATAAGTTAAAAGCAACTAGCTGGTATCCCCTTCATTTTACTTACTAATAGTTCATCCATACTGGTCTGGCATTTTTCCAGGTTGATCCGCTTTATTGCTACACGTTCTTGCCTGGGTTTGCAGAGAGCAGCCTGAACCACAGCAGTAGCTCCACTGCCTGAAACAAAATAAAAACAACATCAGCTCTCAAATGGCACACTGTCTGGTTGCTATTCATGACCCCTTTCATAAACAAATATCTATTTTTTTAAAAAGTCCTCTATTGGAGGTATTCAAAACATTACCATTTGACATCTTTTTAAAAGAGTTTCTTAAGTCGGAAAATAATTATCTGGAGGAGGAAAAACTGGACTTTTCTAGGGGATGTAAAAACAGTATCTGCCTACCAGAGGCTTACAATCCAGGAAGATGACCCACATCAGAAGAATCCATTGCAACTCAGCGTGTTTACTGCCACTCAGAACAGGGCTGAGAAAGTGACGGGTCTGAGGTCACAGGAGCAAGGGACATGAGCATCTAAGCACAGGCCTGCACGGAAGCCATTACCAGCCTCAGGTCCCAGTATTTTCTAACTTCAGGGCCTCTGAAATATCTCAAGCTCTTCTTCCACTTCAGCCCAAACCAAACCACTCCAGCCTGAGCCACTTCAGGGCTTCCACGAGACGCTGTGACAACTTATCTGCTCTGAGCACTCTTTGAACTTACTCCTTCCGAGCTTGCTCTACAGAGAGAACAGGAATCGACTCGAGTACGCTCATGTTGAAAGCATGACTTTCAAGGATGCCAAGCAAAATGATGCAAATGTGTAATTACAAAAGCTCTTGGCATTCATATGAATTTCCTATTTCTAAGGTTTCATGATCATTAGCTAATGCACTCAAACTCCTAGGAGACAGAGTCATGTCATTATCCATATTTTATAAGAGCAAAATGTAGACGTGTAATGATTTGTGGCAGAGCACAAAGAGCTCCTAATCGGATTTATACTCCATAGGGGCAAAAAGACCTCTAGGTTAAGGCATCTCAATTCTGCAAAGAATACAAAAATCTCATTCTAATCACATAAACCCTCTACCACTGCAAGATTGCCAATGAGAGAAACAGCCTGTGCTCAGGACTGTGCAAAAGGGGGCCAGATGTGACCACTGACCTTTCTCCTTAACGTTTTCTTTGGGTACTACTTCCCAAATGAGTCATCAAATATCATCAAGGTGGTGGGGGGGGAGGTGGCGCATCTTTTGGCAGTAAAGAAGAGAGATCAGTAGTAGCTTTCCCTACATATGTGATAGAAAGGCATGACACTTCTAGTGCAAATCAAGGCTGTCCCACCCCAAGGAAGCGCCCAAATGGATCTTTAGAGCTGACGTTCTGTCCTTTCTTCTGCCCTGTGGCCTCATCATCAGCCTGGCCCCCTGACCTGGTGACCTGAGCAGATCACCCTAACGCTGCAAACCCAGGTCTCCAACTTTAAGACTCCTGTTCCAGGGAAGTCCCACCATGTTCACTGGGGAAGAATATCTACCTACTGACCACCTACTGTACAGTAGGCACTTTACTCAAATAATTCCCATTATAAACATGTACTTTTTTTTATTATTGGCATCATTCTAGACATGAGAAAACTGGGACTCAGAGAACTTGCCCACACAGCTAAGTACCTGAGCCAGGATCCAAGTTAGGTCAGCCAGACTCCAAGGTCCATGCTTTTTTCTACTTCCCACAAGCCAGAGCACACTCCTCCCTCCCTCACTTGTTTTGGCCTTGCTAGGAAAATATTTTCTTCTGTCCTATGTGGTTGAAGAAAAGAGAAACAACCTACAGCAAAGGTTCAAGTGAGCCTCTCTCACTAGAGTTCAGTTCAAGGAGTGTTGTTGGCAGAGGTTGTTTAAAAAGGCCTTCCCCTCTCTAATTTCACTGCTTGCTCCATCAGCTGCTACTCCAAGTCCCACGGGTTGGCCTCACTGCCCCTGCAGATCACAGCATGTTGGGTTCAATCCAGAATGCTCCAGATACCAGAGCCAAACACTACAAAGAGCCCTGCTGACAGCAAAGTGTATTTTCCAGTCAAGGTCTCCAGAACAAGAGACCATCACTGAAGGAAGCCGCAAAGTGATAAGTAACTAGTTAGCACTGGACCTGGTACCCAACAGAGAAATCAACAAACATCATTAGCTAGCTGCCGATGGGAAGCCATTCTCAGCGGCACGTGTTGTACATCTCCCCTTAATTCCATCCCTCTCTCCTTAATCCACATCCCCAAACATTCTCAAATCAGGGGAACTGAAAAACAGGAAAGATGAAAACAAATTCCCAGAAAAGATAAAACAAGTGCATATAATATGGGGCTACCTCTCCTAGTCAGATAAGTCCTTGACTGTAAAAGTCTCCTGACTTCCAAGCACACATGAAAGAATATCGACACAAATGAGAATTCTAAAAAGGGGGAGGGAGTGGTGCGGAAAGTCTTTTATTTGAGCTATACAACTAGAGAACTGTTATTGCTTTACAACTACAGCTGACTAAAGAACAACTGGCAGCTTCTCATCTCGAGAGAGAATAAACAGGAAGCTTCATGACCTGAGATTGTCAGAGCATGAATGAATGGAACCACTCACTGGACAATTTGGGAGATTCCACTTTGAACCTAAAGATTTCCTTCAACTATAAGAGAGATCAAGAACAACATCAGAGGTGCAGGGAGCCTTAAAGACCATCCAGCCCAACCCCTCACTTTATGGATGAGGAAGGGAAGGGAAAAGAGCTCTCACCAGAAACCAAATTGGCCAGCACCTTGATCTGGACTGCCCAGCCTCCAAAACTGTGAGAAAAGTTTCTGTTGTTTAAGGCACCCAGTCTATGGTATTTTGTTATGGCAGCCCGAGCTGACTAACACAAAAGGCTTTCATTGTCTATTCTAAGTCATTCTCCCACTATTACACATGGTCAATTATGCCATACAAATTAGAAGTTCTCAAAAACTTCCTAATTAAGTCAATAGCAATAAGAGTCAAGATTCAACTAAAGGGTCTCTGGGAGGCCATTGTAGTTCCCAAGTCTTAGGTTAGTAAGACCCTTGAAAAGAAGGTGAGATAGGGATTCTATCCAACCCTGAAACTGATTCCCACTGTGACGTTGGGCGTACTTTCTCTCTAAAGCTCAGTCTCCTAAACGGGCATATTAAAATCTACCTGGAAGGCTTAATAACACAACGTGCTTCACATCCCTGAAAAACATCAACTCAATAAATGTTAGGTTCTCTGGGACTATTTCCCCATCTGTAACATGAAGGAGGTAGACTATATCTGTAGCTTATACAGCACCCAAGGGAGAAGAGAGAGGGCAAAGCAGCTCCAGGTCAGGGTTAAGTTTCATTTTGCTTACCAGGAAGATCCAGTTGGTTTAAAATGGGGAAGAGGATGGCTAAATTAGATAACTAGAAGACTAAATGATTTCTAAGATCTGATACAGCCTGATGAGTCTAAGAGTCTAAAATATAAGAGATTAACCCAGAGAATTCAGGACCAGCTATGAACTAACATTCTATAGCTAAACTCCTCAATGATAATGTACTTTGATATCTAACCTAAAGAAATGATTTTTAAAAATCTTTGCCCATCCAGATTGCATGAGTTCATATCCCAGCCCTGCCACATACTAACTGCTTATCCTTGGATGACTTCCTTGACTTCTCCATACCTCAATTTCTTCATTTGTCAGATGGAGATCATACCACCATGTTCATAAGGTGGCTGTGAGAATCAAATGAGTTAATACATGGAAAGCCTTGGAACTGTGGCTAGCACATAGGAAGCACTAAGTAAATCTTAGCTAGTATTACTCCTCAGGGAAATCCCTCCAGGTCAACTGGTGTCCCACCAATTTGTCGTTTTAGTGCTACATAATATTTCATGATGTTGATGTACCACAATTTATTCAGCCCACCTTCTATTGATGAGTATTCTCTTTATTTCCAGGTTTCCCTCAATACCAGCAATGTAGCGATAAACATCTGGTACTTTAAAATATATATATATTAGTCCATAAGAACTTGTCTTTCTGTCAAAGTTAGGAAGTAGTCAATTGTCCAGTAACCCCTTCCTATAAATGTCAGAATTTAAAAAACAAACAAAAAAGGCACTACGTTAGCCTCTGACGTGAATGGTGGCCAGTGGAAGGAAGTTCTGTCATCACATCCTACTTAAATGAGGAGCACCACGCCAAAATTTTAACAAGAGTTTGCCCATCTTTTAGCACACGAAAGGACTCCTTAATTATGCTTACCTGTCCTTTCTCAGTGAACAGAGTCCAGAGCTGTATCAGGCATTCTTCTGAGATGTGCTGGCTGGTGGTATGTAATAAATAAACAAATGGCTTTGGTCCAGCTGATGATTTCTTCCAGTTCTCTTTTTACCCAACTTACTCTATGTGCTCCAGTTACATCATGTGTCCAACCTCAAAGCCCATGAGGCCAATCAGGTCCCATGAGGGCCAGAAGCTCGCCAGGGTGTGAATGGACAACACATGAGCTCTGCAGGGGCACAGCTGACACTCTGTGAGATCGCTGACCTAGTATGGCAAGATTCTGATTTTTGCAGAAAAGCTGAAAACTCAGAATTTTGTGTGAGATCTCCTAATATCATAAGGTTAGCAATTAATTTTTTTTAATATAAAAGCTTGTCACAGGCCATATTTTGCCTTCCTGTGTTACTACTATTTCCCTTCAAAGGTGTACCCTTCCTTACCTGATGGTTCAAGTTCAAAATTATTTATTAAATTACACATCTGAAGTTGCTATTCTTCTAGATCAAAAATGGTCGCATTTCCTACGGCTCAACATAATATGTGAATGTACTCAGGACATCGGCCCAAATTCATTTACTACATGTCGCCATGTCGCCTTCCACCTCATCCTACTATTTCACACAAAGAGAAAACTATCAGAGCTATTCTCCTGTCATTTGGTGTGTTTATGTGAACACAAAGAACGTGTGCACAGTAAACTCACAAGTCAAACACAAAGAACAGAAACAATGAGACAGGTGTGACGTGCAATTTGCTATACAGATTTCTTTACAAAACAGACGCTACCACTGGCCTGTCTGGATAAATAGTACACAGACCATGTGTATACACCAGGCCGGGCACAGCAAGGCCACATTTCATAAGGCAGCTACAAACG